TACGAACCCTGATTGAGACGCATGGTCGTCTGGAGATCCTCCGTAACAGCTTTGGGACAGACTGACGCAGTTGACACCCGCGTCAGAATCGCCAATGTCGCAACGTGCGGCATTTGCGGCGTCAAGGCCGTATAGTCCCAGTTCAACCTTAGAGGACTCCGGTGCGATCGGCACGTTAAGATCATACAGCCAAACTTTTTGGACGTACGCGTGAGAAGATAGACGAATCGAAGAGATGTGGAGACTCGATGTGGTCTGTGGATAAACTATTGGAGATGTTGGATTTCACCATCGATGTGGGAAATGTAGAAGGTGCAGACCCATCGGATTGCTATTCTTACCTCCCAATCTGCGGTTCGCCAGTATTCTCCAGTTTCACGTAGGTATCCAGACGCGAATTAGACCGACCCTGTCCTTGCGCATTATCGCACGTCATCTTACTATTATAGGTGTCCGTCTACTTCGCAATCATCATTGCCTAGTAGTTGTTGATGCAAATCGTCTATGCTTTACTGTCCACAATGCGCGTCGCGTAGTCTTGGTGTACTACGTGCGCAGCTTGAGTCTCGATGTGCCCTTTGCAATAATCGTTACTCGTCGGAGCGTTGAACAACTTTTTTAGGTTTAGAATTAGGCCACCTTTATACGCGATGTAGCGTACCAGTATATCCTCGTTGTAGGGTACATCATAAGGTACTCGGTCTGGGTTACCTACGTCTACCAAGACTGCCAACACCATCGGCAAGACAACTTGATTGGAGTCCTCGTCGCTTCAGCTCGCCTAGATGTTTGCAGCTTGACAGAGGCAATTATTAGTCGTCGTCAGTGTAGGTGTATCATCACCGCGCGGGTATTATTCTAAGTCAGTACCACCATCTAGACGACAATTCATTATGTTTCCATCTAGGCGCGCCACCTCAGCACGTAGGTCTCGTAGTCCCACCCTAGTAGTACACAGCGCCAACTGTACCTTTCTTCGATACTGCCATGTTACAGCCTTAGTTGATCATCGTCAAGCTTCTGTACGCGCTCACCTTCTGTTATTCTGCATAGCGGTAAGCTACGAGAAGTCGCTGTTACAGAAGCTATGCCTCATGGTAGTTTATATTTGTATTAGGGGACCAGTACAACTACCTGGTAGAGCTCGT